AAAAAGAAAAAGATTTAGAAAAATAAATAACATAATATATACTATATTTACCTTTGATAATTTGTCGTAAATAACTTTTTCACTTTCTTTTAAAAAAACTTGCACAATGCACTTTACATTTTAAAAAATAACTATAAAGCCCGTTCTCCATTCAGAACTATTTGCGCCCTGGAGGAACGGAAGAGTTCTTTGAGCATGCGCAAAAAATTCTGATTGGAGAACGGGTTTAAAAAAACTGTTTGCGCATACTCAAAGAACTTTTCCGCTTCTCCAAAGCGCAAAAAGTTCTGAATGGAGAACGGCCTTAACTAATACCATGGAAGTATAAAACAGATGGAAGTTCAACCGCTTTGAAAATCTTCGGGACTATGCTTGCAACCTTTTGTTTCGCAAACAAAAGAAAACTACATCAAGACTGTACTTAAACGCTTAATTTTTATACGATGACGCAAATAGATACGTTTATTAAAAATTTTAAAATAAGTACTTTGACGGTTCTCCAACAATATTCAATTGGAAAAATTAAAAATGGCGACAACGAAATGGCAACGAGCTATATTTTGTCAAACTTTATGTTAAATGAATGAAGTATATTTAGCATGAATGGAGTTATGATATAAACCCAACGAAACTATAATCTTTAGTTATTTACAGAACAATTTTTTTAATATTTTAAAAATTTATTAAGTAGTCTATTTAATCAAATGTCGTGTTATGATTAAAAGCAAGAAAATCTGCTTTTAAAATATACGCTTTTGAAATATAGTGATTCTAAATATTTACCAAGTTGTAATTAAGGTTCTGTTAGATAATTATAACAAGTAATGGTTAAAACGAAGTGGCATATCTATGGAGTATACATTTTTTGATGTTTTGATAAAAATCATTTCAGTGAATTTTTGTTGTTTTTTTGTCCAGTGAAACTCTTTTTTTTTTATTGTCGGTTACGAGCATACTCCCGGGAAGACTTGAAATTGCATTGATGTTTACCGCCTCATGAACTTCCTTCTGTATTATACTTCCATGCTAATACTAATTAATAGAATAACTAATTACTAATTAATTTTACGCGTTTTTACAACGTTTTTATAAGGTTACTTGCTTGTGCGTCTGCCTGTCTGTCCATCCGGTTAGAATCTTTGAAGCCCGCTTCCCGACCAGCTAGAGCTCTGAAACTTTCAAGATAGCTCAGAACCCGATGACAGTTCAATTTAAAACCATTTCCAAGTTTCTTCAACTAAAATTTATCAAAATTTCAACACAATTCAATTTTATATGGAGAAAAAAACAAACACGAAGTCAGCAGTAATAATTAAAGAAGTACGCCAAACTTTAGCTTAGCGTTAATAAAAAGAAATCATTAAGAAAAGTAATTAAAACAAACAGCGTGAAACTGACTTTAGTTTAGCGTAAATAAAAGAAATCGATAAGAAAAGTAATTTAAAATAAACTACAATAAAAAGAATAAATCTAAAAAATTCCCGGGAATTTCTCGAAAAAAAACGGGAACGGGAACAGGAATTGACCAACGAGATTCCCGGGAATTACCGTTCCCGGAATTCCCTTGAGGATCACTAGCTAATACTCGCTATTTTTTATGACTCTTTGTTGTAACGTTAAATTGCCAATTTAACGTTATTTTTTGTAATGTTAAATTGCTAATTTTACTTTACAACAAAGACTGATAATAAATAGAGAGTATTAGCGTTATTAGACTTTTTACTTTTATTTTTACATCAATGTCAAACTAGAACACTATAAATTGATATTGAGACCAATGTTTTTATATGATTTTTGATAAGCATGAAATTTTCTTTCATAATATATTTAATTAAAAAAAGTTGAGAACAGTCTGCAGTTAGAGTTTACCCTAACTTGTTAGTAGGAACCTTGTCAAACTAATTATTAGTTAACTAAACCTGCAGATAGAACTTCGGTACATTGGTTACGCTATATCGCAGTAAATTTTATTTTATTTTATTTATCATAATACAAATAGTCCAATAAAGTCATAATCTTAATTTTGGAACAAATGACAGTTAGAGGCTTGTCAAACCAACGTGACGGAATATTTTATATTTTGGAACAAATGACAGTTAGAGACTTGTCAAACCAACGTGACGGAATATTTTATATCGCTATAAAATATTATACTAAACTACTTTACTATAATTATATTTTTTTTTTAGAATATTGATTTTATAGAAATAAAAATAAATTTGTACTATATGCGTAGATTACATAAATAATTGTACCTTTGTTATTGTATTGTAATTTTGCATTTATAATCATATAAATTTTTTATATATGAGAGTTAGTAAAAAAAAAAACTCTTTAAAAATGATTTTTTTTTTGTTATACATTTTTTATTTATGTTATATTTGTTTAAGACTTAAATTTTTTTTTATTTAAGAGGTTTAATCGTATCTATATTTTGTTTTTAGAGTTGGTTTGTGTTGATTAATGATTAAAAACTGAAAATACATCAAATATAACTTTGATAAAATAAAATTTATAAATTTAATCTGGAAAATTTATTTTCAATATATATGTTTTCATGTTTCACAAAGAGAAAGAAAATGTTCATTTATCAGTTAAATAATAGGATTATTTTTTTTCTAAGAATTTTATACATGGTAATGCATATATGCTACTTATGCAGTAGCATTTCAATAATCATTTTATTAAATTGTTTATGGTAGCACGTATTTTCATATAAAGTATATCCACTGAACAGTGGGCCAATAGGTGGATAAAACTAAAACAAACCATATCTTAAAAGTTTAATTTTTTAAAATAATTTTTTTATTGAATATATTGAAGATCTCAAAAATAATTTAAATAAAATTTATAAAAATTTTTATACAAAGCAAAAGTGTTGAGTAAATTTTAGGTATATTAATTAAATGTTTTATTAATTTATCAAATAATTGTTAATATATAAATTATATATAAAAAAAAAAAGTTAAAAAAAAATTTTAAACCAATATTGGATATAATTTAATATAAATATAAATTTCGCTTTTAGGGGTAAGAACATTGTTTTTAATTTTCTAATTATGTTTTGCATTATTTTATTTGTAATTTAAAAATCGAAATTATAGATTATTATCGGATATAAATATGGATTACTGTTTTGATTATTTTTTGTTGGCAATTAGAATCCAATCAAAAGTTGTTTAAAAATGGAAATGAAAACTTCCTTGGAGCGCTCGAATTAGTTGCTCGCCTCAACAAAACTTTACAAGATCATAGGCATCTTATTGCTAAGCACCAAGAAGAAGAAAAGCACATGGAAGCTCATTACTTATCCTGGAAATAATAGAATGAATTTATTGAGGTGTGTGGATAATTAGTGGTTCGAGAAGTTATTCGAGAAATCAAAAAATCAATATATTTCAACATTATCACGGGCAATACTCCCGATTTGTTCCACAGCGAGCAAATTACTTTCGTTTTTCGTTTTTTGCATTTCAGTGATAATCAGCTGTGAGGTGGAAAAAAATCAGCTGTGAGGTGGAAAAAAATCAGCTGTGAGGTGGAAAAAAATCAGCTGTGAGGTGGAAAAAAATCAGCTGTGAGGTGGAAAAAAATCAGGGGAGGTTAAAAAAAAATTCCTTAAGCTATAATAGTTTGAAAGTAGATTTAATATCAAAAAGTTGATATTGAATATATTGGAAGAGAATGAGCTTGACATAAAAATTTGTTGTCGTCAAGGCTACGGCAATGGCGCTAATGTAGCAGATATTTACAATGGAGTTCAAGCTTTGATTAAGCCGAATAACCCACAAGCAATATTCTATTCTTGCTCTGCTGTAAACGCTATTTACGGCTCCGGCAAAATCATATTTAAATGCTACACAATCAGTTCAGTTGCAGTCCAATTCGTTAAAATTCTTCAGGTAGAGACAGACAAATCATTACTTAAAACTTCTGTTAAACGATGGAGCTCAGGGATTGAAGCAGTCAAGTCACTAGCAAAAAAGTTAATAGAGGTCTTGATATCATTACATCGTCATTGAGTTAGACCTTCCAGGCAAGTAAGTAAGAAAGTAACAAAGTAGTAATGATTTACTATTATTTAATTAAGTAGTAGTAAAGTAGTAGTAGAAAAATTGCTGCAACAGGTTTCCCTGTATAATCTACAGGTTTTGGCAGCCTTATCTACTTAATACACTAATTTTATTCATATCAATATATAAAAATTTACAATAAGATATATAGCAGGGATGGCCAAATGGCGGCTCGCGAGCCGCATGCGGCTCTTGGAATGTTAAGGCGGCTCGCGAGCCGCATACGGCTTTTTTCCAAATTGTTATATGCTAATATATTTCCATATAATTATTTCCATCATTCTTATTGTCTTAAAACTTGCAAAAATGGATAAAGTAAAAGTTAACACTAGTTTGCTTCGCAAAATAAGGCGGAAAAGAAAAATTAAATACGAAAACAGAATATTTCATAATGATTGGACAGAAAAATATGCATTTATTGAAAGAAACAATAAACCTATGTGTTTAATTTGCAATATAGAACTTGCTCATAACAAGACATGCAATGTTAAACGTCATTATGAAACAAAACATAAACAATTTTCTGAAGAATATCCGTTATGTTCAAATTACAGAAAGAATAAAATTGAATTGCTCAAAACGAAAAATAAAAATCAACAACTAAATATTTCATCTTACAGCCAAGAATCAATTAATACAACAGAAGCAAGTTTTGTTATAGCATGGAATATTGCCAGAGGTAAACATCCTTATACCGATGGAGAATTTGTAAAGCAAAACATTTCAGATGTCCTGTCGGTTTTAGATCCTAGTAATAGCAAAATCCAAAGATTAGTATCACAAATTCCTATTTCTCGACATACAACCGAAAGAAGAATATCTGAGATTAGTATTGATGTTGAACAGCAATTACTAAACGATTTAAAAAACTGTGAAGCATTTAGTTTAGCTGTAGATGAATCAACAGATATTCAAGACAAGCCTTAAATGGCTGTATTCGTTAGATATGTGACTTCAGACGTAATTGTAAAAGAAGAGTTACTAGATTTAGTTGAGTTGAAAGACACAACTCGTGGAGTTGATATCAAGGAAGCCCTTGACAAAGCTCTGCTTAAAGCTAATGTACCTATCAACAAGCTTGTTAGTGTTGCTACAGATGGTGCATCAGCAATGGCTGGAAAACATTTAGGACTTATAGGCTTATTAAAAAGTGACCCTAAGTATCCAGAATTTATCCCAATTCATTGTGTTGTTCATCGAGAACATTTAGCTGCAAAACATTTTAACTTTCCAATTGTTTTTAAATCTGTTTTAAAGATTGTAAATTATATTCGAGCAAATGCAAAAAATCACAGACAGTTTAGAAACTTTATAAATGAATTGGATCTTGCTGACGAGCCAAGTGACGTGTCATTTTTCTGTTCTGTAAGATGGCTTTCAAGTAGTGACGTTTTTTTATAGATTTGTAGAACTATTAGAGCCAATTAAATGTTTTTTGATTGAAAAAGAAAAGACATTTGAAATCCTAGACGATATAAATTTTGTGCAAGATCTTTTATTTTTGACTGATATAATGCAACATTTAAAAAGTCTGAATTTGTTTCTTCAGGGAAAAGAAAAAAATATATCTGATCTTGCACAAACGATATTTAGTTTTCAAAAAAAAATTATTCTTTTTCAGAAAGATCTTAGCTTGAAAAAATTTAATCATTTTCCTCAAATGAAGAAGATGATTACTTCTAATCCTTCAATTCAGTATGATGACGATAAGATTGAATCATACTTGGACAAACTAAAGGGTTTACAAAAAGACTTTCAAAAAAGGTTTAAAGATTTGCATGAACTAAAATCTTCTTTAGGATTTATAGTAAATCCTTTTTTAATTAATATTATTAGTAATGGCTGTCCAATGCCTGAAAAAATGCTTGAAGATATATCTCAATTTGAAATGGAACTACTAGATCTCCAAGAAGATCAAAATCTACTTATGCTGCATAAAACAATAACTTTTATGGAATTTTGGAAGATAGTTCCCGAGGTTAAGTATCCTCAACTTAAAAAGATTGCCATAAAATTCATTTCAATTTTTGGTTCAACGTATACATGTGAATCTTTATTCTCTACTATAAAATTTGTCAAATCAAAGTATCGTGCAAATCTAACCAACGAGCATTTGTCTGAATTACTTAGAACAGCCACTACAAGTTTGAAACCAGATTTTAAGAAACTTACCAGTAAAGTTATGAGTATTAGTTTGATCAAAGTAAAAAATTGATAAAATGATGAAAAAGTTATTTCTTGATTGTAAAAATCAAGTAAAATAATCTAATTTTAGTGTTGGTTTTTTAATTATTATTTCATTGATATAAGCATTGTTATAATTTTGTTAATCAAAAAAAAGTTTATGATCAGCATGCGCTTGTGCAAAAATCTATCATAAAAAAGATCAGTGTGTTGCACAGCACATGGCCAGTGTGTTGCACAGCACCTAATCGTGTGCTGTGCAAAATCAGTGTGATCATGTGATTGTCGAAAACTATAGAAATGATTTTTTAGTCTGAAGGGAATTTTATAAAATAAATCAGATATAATGGCATTGTAAACAAAATCTTTAAAGGAATAGTTTTTTCTTTAAAAAATTTATTGAGTGTTTTAAAACAATTAACTAAATTCAATTGTATACATATTTTACTTAAATCTTTAAAAAATGATATTTTTTATCCAAGAAATATCTAAATTTCATATTAAAATGATATTGTTGAATAGTGATACAACAATTATTTCTACCCCTTAGGAGCATATGGAATTTCCTAAATAATTTGTATTTTCTAAAAATATTTCTTTAAAAAATGATTTTAAATAGTGAATTACAAATTGTTGTTTTTATATGAAACCAAGAAAATGGGCAAGTACTAGAAATTTCTTATTTTTTGGGTAGTTTTTTTACTTATCTAGTACGAAAGTCTCTTAAAATTCAGATAATCAAAAGAAAGAGAATAAAAGTTTCTTATATAAAAAAACAAACATGAAGTTGTTGCGGCTCTTCGGCTCACGTAAGTATATAAATGCGGCTCTTGTGACAAAACGTTTGGCCAGCGCTGATATATAGTATGAAGTATAAGTTTGTACTTTATTGTTTTTCCTTTTTTTTTTTTTTTTAGTTAAAATCTCGATACTTATGCGGATTATTTGAAATTTCTGCATCAAGCTTAGCCTTGAAACTGTTAACTGATGAAGCGCATACAACTTCTGACGGCAATGCATGCCAATGATTCACTATTCGGTTAGTAAAAAACTGGTGGCAATTTTGAACATATTCTCTAGTCATTTTTAGATGATGTCTTCTAGTTTTTATTTTATCTGACTTCCCAACACGAAGGACATGGGGTTCACTCCATGAGACAATGTCTATATTGTTAATAATTTTATAGGCCTGTATCAGATCTCCCCTAATGCGACGGGTTTCTAAAGATGTTTTTACATTTATCGAGATTAAGTTTCATTTTCCAGGTTTTACACCAATCGGCTATGTTGTAGATATCAGTTTGAAGCTAATGGGTGGTCTAAACTGCCCAGCAGATTAGTGTCATCAGCATACATTTTACATGGATGGTTAACAATATCGGATATATCGTTCACAAAAATGATAAAAAGTATTGCACCTAATGAAGATCCTTGATGGACGCCATTAAATACTTCAAGCCACAAGGAAACATAATCACCCATCACGATTCGTTGAAAACGCTGGTGTAAAAACGATTTTATCCAATTCAGGAGATTTCCAGTAAAACCATATGCCTCAAGTTTGTAAATTAGTCTCTTGTGGGTAACCATATCAAATGCTTTACTGAAATCCATAAAAGCTACGTCCATAGATATCTTGTCAGATAATGCTTTTGACATCATGTCAATCGACTCCAACCAATTAGTCACACAAGCTTTTTTTCTGACAAAGCCATGTTGATTTTTTAAAATAAGGCTATGTTTGACTAAATGATTGACCATAGTGTCACATAATAATTTCTCCATCACTTTACATACAACTGATGTTAAGGATATAGGCCGGTAATTGCCTGGGTCGAGTCTACTTTCGCTTTTAAACAGTGGTGTTACATTAGCTTTTTTCCATACTTCAGGACAACACCCGCTATCTAGCGACTTCTGAAAAATTGCGCATAAAAGTATTGAGAAGCTGTCAGAACAGTTCTTCAGTACGTATGCGTATACACCATCCAAACCAACGGTTTTATCAACTGATAAATCGCCCAGCTTGTTTTTAACCAGATCTTGCCTTATTTGCAAGTATTTGCAGATGCCTTCAGTTCGTTTTATAAAATATGGCAGTTCATCGTCTTCATTTTTGTTGAAAACACTTTGAAAATGATTGTTCAGACAATTTCAAATTTCTATTGGATTTGCGATAGTGTTGCCATTGATTCCTTTTAAGGCTGTTATTGTAGTTCTAACATTTTGTTTGCTATTAACATACTTGAACAGGATCTTTGGGTTGTGCTCCAATTTTATCGCTAAATCAAGTTCAAACTCACAACGAGCTTTATATATGAGCTTCTTCAATTGAATATTATACACTTTGTATTCGTTGACTAGTTTAAGATTTTTATATCCATTCGCTCTACATCGAAACCATAGTTTATTTTTATTTTTTATTTTATTCTTGATGTCGTCATTCAACCATTCGCTTCTACGAAGAATCCATCTTGATTTAGTCACTGGGACATAAGTTTTGCAGGCAGCCTCGTAGTGGTTCAGGAAAATGTTATAACAGCCATCAGTATTGCGTCCATTGAATTCCATCTGCCAGTTGATATTGTTAAAATATTCGGATATCTTTACAAAGTTACTTTTATGATAAATGCGTTTTTCAATATATTTTCCTACAACTGCAGCGTTTTTAACAACGTAATCCCATTGAAGGACGTGGTGAGATTTCTTTAGAGACGTTAAAGGTGCATGGTGAATAATATCGAGGACCCAATTTTCATTTTCGGCTATAATTAGATCAAGAGTGTTGTTCGATGTAATTTCATCAAGTTGAAAAGTGGGCTTAGTAACAAATTGTATCAAAAACGACTCGGCAAGGATGTCAATAAAATTACTTGAAAGGGTATCTGTGTTGCTGATAGTTGGGATACTGCTCGAATCCCAGTTAATTCCTGGCAAATTAAAGTCTCCACAAATCAACAAGCCGCTGTATATTTTAGACAGAAGTTCATTTGCTTTAATAATGGACGCTTCAATATTCTCGATTGGATCTAGCATGTGTGGCCTGTATATGCAACCCAGAAGGATGTGTTCGGAACTGTACGATATTTTGCACCAAATTTGTTCAGGGGAATCAAATAAAACAATGGTGTAAAATGGGTGAATTCTTTTGAATGTGTTGTTCTCACTACTTTTTGGGTTAAATTTTTGAATTGTTAACTGCCATTAACTGCCTTCTGCTTCAATTCACTCTCTGTCCTCCTGACGGATCTGGATCGAATCCGTTTGTCTTGGGAACTGATTTTGATAGAGGCAAAAGAAGTTGCTAAGACCTTAAAATTTGATGAAATCATGTTTGCTGTGAAGAGAACGCAAAAAAAAAGGTCTTACTTTATAAAGTAAAACCTTTTTTTTCGCAAATTTTTTTTTTTTTTGATGAAACTGCTAATTAAAACCACGAAGAAACATCAAAAAACTTTTAGTGTACTCGACAATCTGACTAGTCAAATGAAATCAAGATTTTAAGTAATAGAAGAATAATGTAACAAGTTTGGTCTTCACAGAAATCTCAAACAGCTTTTAAACTAGGTTTAAAAGCTGGAAATCTGGCTAAACTTTACCCAGAAGACTTATGTAAAAATGAGTTTTCTCATAGGTTTAGCTTTTTTTTTTCGTAAGAAGAAATGTTCTTACCAACGAAAAGCATGGTGAACTTCTAAATGAAGTTTATGCAAAGAAACTGCATTCAATATTTCTACAAGTGTGTGTTTCAGTTGGAATATTTTTAACTTTTCCCGTTTTAACATGTGAAGGTAAAAGATATTTTAGTAAGTTAGCTATCATCATAGATTATCTTCATTCTACAATGAGCCAGGGGCGATTGTCCTACCTAATGATCCTTTGAATTAAATCAGATTTAGCCAATAACATTTCTTATGAAGAAGTTATTTCAAATTTTGCCGCTAAAAAGGCCCGCAAGATGTGTTATTCTATTAAGAATTGATTTTGTCATAGTTTGTTTTTACAAACCAAAATTAATTAAATGTGATTTTAGGTTTTCTATAAAAGTAAACAACAAATAACTATGCTAATTTGTTTGCTATTTATCATTTTAAGACCTGAAGAATGATAGAGCATCCTTTAAACTTTTGGACCAGGGCATTGCAAAAGCCCAAGGCTAATATGTATCATTTTAGAAATAAAATTTTGAAAACACAAAGAAGCACGATTTTTTGAAAGTAACGGAGGAAGATGTTTGGAAGTTTGATGACTTGATATGCCTAGGCAATAAGATGATGAAAATTTAGGACGATATTTTCTTCTAACTTTTTGTTTTCCTAAATTTATTTGCAAATGCAACTCGCAAACGGCAGTGTCATTTAGATTTGCATTTAGAATTACTGTAATCCAGATTTTTTTTCTTCTTCATTTTTAGAAAATTAATATAATGAGAGCTTTAAACTATCAGGTTTCTTTTTAGCGAAATAATAATTTATGGTACAGCCAAAAATACAACATCTGTTACCCATTTTTTAATATTATAATGACAGTTATATATTTTTTAATATTTTTTAATATATAATGACAGTTACTTTTAAGCGTAGTTTAAAACTCCAAGTCAGATAGGTTGTTTACACATAGACAAGGCCTGTAATATAGTCAGATAGGTTGTTTACACATAGACAAGGCCTGTAATATAGTCAGATAGGTTGTTTACACATAGACAAGGCCTGTAGTATAAATTGCACTGTTTTTAAGAGAATCCTAATAACAATCTTTAAGTTTATAACTAGTGAATATCCTTAAAGTTATAATCTTAATGTACCCCAAATTTTAATGTGTATGTATAAAAAAAGCATGGTTTATTTCATAATATATTATAAATTATGAAATTAATCATATTTTGTTTTATACATACACATATATCATATATATCATTCTTATTGTAACGACATTTCTCATAAAAACCCAACATTATTTTCAAATAATTTTTTTTTTCCGAGAACTTATTTATAACTTAGTTCATTTTAAATTTAATATTAACCATTTCTATGGAGTAAAAATTAAAAAAAAATTTATTAAAAAATAAAAAAGCGTACAAAACTTCTCTTATAAACAAATAATTCTTTTAAAAAGAGAATTAAGACGATTCTTTTTGTAAGACTCAAAAATCTACTGCTTGTGGGGAAAAAATTTTAAAGCTAAAACTTTGCCCAGTGATTCCCTAAGGTATAGAGATCACGGAAAAAAAAACTCCAATGATTCGCAACAGGAAACCCCTTTTTTGGGGCCTTTTTCAAAATGTGCAATGCTTCATGACCCATCTTCTGTTGGTGCAAATATTTGATAACGCATGCGTAAATATTTTATCTTCAAACTTTTTACATAACATTTTAAAGCATTTTTTATGCTGAACAACTCTTTAAATAACACTAAAGACCTAAAATAACATTAAGACCTAACACAAAAGGATGAATAGTTATTTAATAAATAAATACTAAAGTAATAAAAAGGTTGTTAAAAATACCTAGCTTATAAAAATAGCGACACGTTTGAAAACATTAAAATTTGATTTTAAGAAGACATAGCATTTTAACTGATCTTAAGAAACTTTATCTTAAAGTCTTAATTTAGTCATTAGAAACGTTTTTTTGATGTACTATAGAGAGTTTTTTTGTGTTTGTTTCTTTTAATCATCTTAACTTCCAACAAGGCTGCAAACAACCAGAGAAAAGATAACATTTATAAAGCATGATAACAACAGACGACTTAAAAGATTTGCAATTATATGAATCAGAAAAAAAAGACAAAGCGAATTCTCAAGAACTAATGTTCAAGGAAAAGTAGACAAATAAGAATTTTTACAGCACTTAGGATAACGAGTAACACGAGAATAAATTTTAGTAGATGGCACAAGAGACGCTAGCTCTTTAGAGCAGTGTCCATTATAGTATTTGTACAAAAGAGAAAGAGAAGCAACATTACGACGATGTGATAATGGTTGAAGGTTGGCTGCAAGAGCAGTCCAACTATGTTTACAATGCATTTT